TTCCCGTGAATTGAAGCAATACGTTTCTAAGAATATTTCAAGCAATTCCTGGAACGTTACGGTAAATAAAGTCGGTGTTTTGGCTAAATTGTATTCAGCCAGGCTTTGTTGTATTTGTTTAATTGATAAATTGCTCTAGTTATTAAAAATTTTTCTAGAAAGTGTGACAAGGTTTGTTTTCCCTTGGTAGTAAAACGTTTTATACACAACGGAAGCAAAGATTGAAAATGATTTGATACGATCGCGATGATTTATGAACCAGTTTAAAATATTGAGCTCGATTGGAAATTCACTCTTTCTCTCTCTCTCCAACGCGCGCGTGTGTCTAATGCCCTTGGCATTCTGTTGATTTTGAACTTGTTTTATTTTTGGCCGAAATTACATTGTATTCTGCGTTTCACTTTAAATTATCTTGGTTTTTTATTTTATATTCCTTTTGCAATTGCACCCTAGCCTTAAGGTGATCATTGTTCGTGCAGGTGCTCCTCTCAACTGATATTTTATTTCGTTCTTCAGTCAACAATGCTTGGCAGCTGAAGACAAAACTTTCTCCGTTACTTTAGTGGTCCCACATACCGCATTGTTGTCTGTCTGTTTTTCTCATGTTTCACTACCAATTCTATTCTGTACAAGAGATTCCTCCTAGCAAGCGTTCCTCCACTAAGACTTCTGCAGGCACCGCTCCAAGAGCAAAACTGGGTCGGTCCTCCACGGCCACGTCGATGGCCATTTCCGACAGTGTCGCACTACCAGCTTGCCACGCCACGTCGAGCTCGAGCCAAGGCACCGTGTCGATTGATGTTGCTGCCCTGTCCGCCACAGTGTCTGCCGTGGTAACAGAAGCCCTTAAGACCGCTCTCTCTTGGTAGGCTGAGCGACCTCTGCTGGAAAGTTGAGACACACTTGGTCAGTTAGCTTGTTCCACTTCAATCTGAGCAGCCCACATTCACTAGATTTGACGCCAAGTGGCTGCTTAGCATAGGTTAACTCGTCTTCGCTCTCTGTTGATCCATCCAGTTCTACCTCTTTCACATTTGAGTGCCATTTATGTTGACAAAGGGTGGCTTGTCCGAAGATCCCAGTTGTTTGGCCTTTTCTACAGTCCACCCACTAATCAGCAGGTCGTCTACATATAGTTCGCGTTCGATCTCATCCACACACTCAGGGTGGTCAGCTCGACAATGGTTAAGGTGATGTTCGATCATTCCCCCAAGGAGGAAAGGCGAGGGTTCCGGGCCAAAGAGCGCCCTAATGACTGTACGTGTAAATTCGTAAAGGATCTTCCTTTTCCATCCTACGCGCTGATACGCACTTGGAGGAACGTCTCACGGATGTCGCCAGTGAGGGCGAAAGCATGAAACCTGTCTCGCAAAAGTACTTTCCATACTTGATTTTGTAGTGGTGGTCCTACTTCAAGGCAGTCGTTTAAAGAAGGCGCTGAATCATGCGCTTTCGCCGAAGCGTCATGTACGATTCGCATCTTCCTGGTTTCGGCGCTCTCCCTGACAACAGCTTTGTGGGGGATGTAGAACTCTTGCCCAGTCGCAGCCAGTGGTGCTTCTTCTATAATTCCTTCTTGTAGTTGTTCTTTAATGATAGCATCGTAGTTGTCTAGTTTTCCAGCCTTCTTCAGTCGTTTCACTAGACTTTTAAGTCGCCTCATGCTCCCTGATTTGTTCGTTGGTAAGGGAGGATGATCTCCCTTCCAGGGAAAGCCTGTCTCATACCATCCCTCAGGACTGCGCTTGAGCTGTTTGGGGAATTCAGCATAGACGACATTCCGGTCTCCATTAGGGGAGTCTTCAAGTCCAAGGACTTCAATCCTGTACAGCTGTTCGTAGTCACTGGATGCGCAAGAAACATGCTGTCCAAGTCTGCTTCTGACCCAGGCGACAAAATAGCCCACCCAAAACGGGTATACTGGGCGACAGGCTCTCCTATGGGTCCAGTGCGCTGTGCTTCTCGAGTTTTAATCTTTGCGTAGTCACTTGCTCCTAGAATCACACGAGCAGGAAGTAGACTCTTTCTGTCGGTATCCTCCATTTTTACCCCCTTCAGATGCTGGTACCTGTGGATCATTTCCGTGTAGCTGAAGTTTTCTACAGATAACAGTTCAGCGCGCTCAACTCTCGTATCGTTCAGTGGAATGGTGTGGTTTCCGTTAGTATCACTCACGTTGACATCATAGAGCTCGTTCCGTTTAGTTACAACGCCCACGATAGTTTGGATACGTCGTGTGAGCGAACGTGTGGGAACTAGTTTCAGTAGGTCCAGCAAGTAACCTGAAGCCTACGAGACTGACTTCAATAACTACTTTTCTTCGGTAGGTAAAAACCTTGCTTCACGCGTGCCTCGTTCATCTCGCTATTTTACCGAATACTTGGCTCCCAATTATAATCCAAGCTCTTTGTTCTTTGATCCAGTTACGCCAGGGGAAATTGAGCGTAAGATACTTTTGATCCCTAAAAATAAAACTTACGGTCTCTACTCTTGTCCGATTCGTATTTTAACTGACGCAAGATGCGTTATTTCGGGACCTCTCTCCATCATCATAAACATATCTGTGCAAAAGGGCATCTTTCCATCCAAACTGAAAAAAAAGCGAAAGTTGTTCCTGTGTTCAACAACGACGATGAGACTGAGCCTGGTAATTATCGTCCGATATCATTACTGTCTATTTTCAATCGGATATTTGAAAAATTAATGTACCACCGCCTCAAACCCTATCTTGGTAAAAACGATATTCTATTTAAGTCACAGTATGGCTTCCGCGAAAATTGATATCGTTAATGTCATACAAAACAATATGGACCAAAAACTTTTTACTTGCGGGATCTTAAAAAAGGCCTTTGATACCGTCGACCGTTTAATCTTGCTTAGAAAAATTAATCATTATGGCATTAGGGGAATTATCAATGCCTGGTTTTGCCTCGTACCTTCTCGGTCGTTCACAAGTAACTGAAGTGGGTTTTAACTTATCTACCGAATGTATGATCTCATGTGGTGTCCCATAGGGGTCTGTGCTTGGTCCTCTGTTATTCTTAATCTATATTAAAGATATTCACCACTCTCCAGCAAAATTGTCATTCTATCTCTTTGCTGATGACACGAGCTTGTTGTATGCTGACACTAATTTGAAATCTCTTGAAAAAACCGTCAATAGCGAACTGCTCAAAGTCTCCGACTTGCACAATGCAAATAAGTTAACGCTCAATGCTAAAAAGTCAAACTATGTTATCTTTCGGTTTGGAGCTAAACTTTGGAACGCAATTCCTAACGAATTTCGTCAACTCTCCAAAGGAGCATTTAAAAAAAAATTTCATGACTTTTTACTCTCGATAATGGAAGCAGAGGACGATTATGTTGAAGTGCCCATTCTCCTACAAAAAATGGCAAATTCTGCATCCTCGACTCAATGCACTAATTATCGATAGGTTCTGTTAGTGGTAAATTTGATTGTAATATCATTCTGTTAGACTATATATTCTGTAACTTTAGCTTGTTTTTCTGTAATTCTTATTTATCCACACAGTTTATTTAGTTACTTTACAATATTATCTGTTATGACTGCTTTTTGCTATTTGCGGGCGGAGATGGCAAAATGATGTGTATGAAATAAAGTATAGTGTGTGAAGGTGACTGATCCGCCGGTGTCAAGGAAGAGCTCGGCAGGTTATGCCATTCACTTTCACTAAGAAAACAGGGTGGCATACTTTCTCCCCGTTTAGAGACGCCGTTAGAGCCACTCCCCCGTTGTCGGTTTGCTGACCTCTTCCCTCTCCTTTATCACAAATTGATGAATGGTGTCTTTGTTTACAGTGAACACATGTCCCACGACTGCGGCATTGAGGTGCGTGGTGTTTGGATCCCGTTCAGTCAAAACACAGCTTTTTGTTCTGCAAAATCTGTCAGCGGTCGGCTGGCGATGTGATTTTATCGCATTCCCAAGACCTGTGTGTCACGCAATCACAATAAACGCACACTTGCCGTGCCGGATCTTTCTCTTGCGAGTGAAAAGTTTTGACGCGAGGAAGACGTAAGGGCGGAGATGTATTGGACCATTTCTAGAGATTGAATTTCCTTCCATTCTTCGAATAAAGCCTGTAGTAGTTCTCCGAATCCCCAGTCTTGCCACCCCATTTTGTTGCTCACTAGTTCGGCTTTAATACCGGGCAACTTGTCAAGAACACCCCGAACCATAGATAAACAATCCGACAGCTTGCTCAGTGTTTCCAGGGATTGCACATTATTCTTTAAAGTTTGACAGAACTGGTGAATCTTGCTTGGTTGGGATCTGTGAACGGTCGGAAGGGCGTTGATGTTATCCACATATGCTCTTACAATTTCACTCGTTTTCCCGTAATTCGATTTCAATATATTTTCAGCTTGCTCTTATCCCTCTATGGTGAACGGAGCCTCATGCCTATCATCTAGTTTCCGACGACATATTTGACAGACTTTATTACCGGGCAAGGAGGGCGAGCGCGAGCAAACAGCAAGGTGAGAAATCGTCTCTCATAACAATTTTATTTTCATCGACATTTTTGTATCATTTTGCAAGCTTTGCCCGTTTGTAATCCTTATGCGCAAATAAATCTTCTATCAGGCAAGGGGAAAACAGACCGAAAGAGCCGAACAGCTACAGCATACTGATAATTTCGCCGAAGCTACAGCCGTAGAAAGAAACCACAATCTTCTCCGTGCGTTCATTGAAGTGAGCGCAGTGTATCGATTTTGTTATAAAGCTAATATCATAGGTGACGAATTACTCTTTAACTTTGGCGCGAAATTTCAGTGTTAATTTGTAATTTCACATGTGAAATTACAAAATTGCTATGGCAATCCTTCCGTATGTCTCAGTGTCAAGATGGCGACGAAGTTTTAAAATGCCGTGAATGAAGATGTCAGGGCACAAAAAGACGCTTTAGCAAACCTAACCACACAAGAGAATATCAAGAAGGATTCTAACAGGTATTTTGCCGAAAAAGTCTAAAAAATTCTTAACTTTATAGGCCAAATTTAAGGTCTAAACATTTGAGAGAGTGGAGCTCTCGATCGATACGATCCAGGATAAACATGTCAAAAATCCAAGATTGCTAACGTAATTCGTCACCCATGATATTAATAGGTAATCAAGTGGTATACTCGTGAAATTAGGGAATAATTTCACTTGCGTTTTGTCCAGATCCTAATAATTATTAGGATTGGACAAAAAGCGTGTGAAATTATTCCCTAATTTCACTCGTCACCATTTGATTACACATACTAACCTCACAGTTTTAAAATCCTGTATGATGTTGTCTGGATCTTCGATAGTGGTTTTGTGTTTTGGTAGAGATTTATAACAATTCATTCCTTCACGTAAGTTTACATAAAGAATTGCATACACATAGCACATACTAGCCTCCCCCGCAGGCGTTTTTAGGGGAGATCGTATTAAATACGATCTCCCCTAAAAACGCCTGCGGGGGAGGCTAAGCACACACTGCATGCAAATTATTTTAAAGTCACGCTTTTAGTTTCCGCTCTGGCTTACGAAAAATGTTTTGTTTCCAAAGGTTATTTCTATATTCAAACTTATTTACCTCTTCTGGTTTAAAATGGAACAAACTCTTCGTCGACTGGACGTTTCTCGCTTCACCTCGGCTTCCGCTTCAGCAAGTTTCTCAGCCCTTTTCCCGCAGGGAGTTCTGTTACTTAGCTCAGACGATCTCTTAAATTCCAAGACACTTTCAACGGCTCATAAAGGGAAAATTAACAGGGGTAGACCCGGGTAGACCCCGAAATGTACAAAGAAGAAAAGTTGAAGTAACAAGTTGACCGAAATAATCCAATAAAACCGCTAACAGTAACCAGCAATGAATCCAAGAAGAACGACAAAAACAACACTCAAATCATTGTGGCGACTTGCACATGACCGAGCAATGCTCAAGAAAGCAAAACATTTAAAAGTAACGTAACTACTATCAAGAATAAGTGTTCCAACAACTTTCCACGGCCTTATAGTGTAGAAATTGCCCACACAAGCTTGGAATAAAGCGAAAATTTCTCCATACACACCTCTGAAAACGGCTCTTAGCAAGCGCGAAAATCACTCAACAAACAAGAGGCATTCAGGTCTCGCCTGCTTGGAGATTAGATCGAGAAACGAGGAGGCGATTAATTCTACAAGAAACATGATTTACTCGCCAAAGGCTTTTTACTTCCTACTTTTTCGACGTCGATACTTTTTATTTGTTTCTGAATTGATTTAGTATGCCTGTTAGCGACGACCGGAAATATAGCCTGTGAACAGGCTCTCTGTCTGGGGAAAAAAATAGCAAGGAAAGGGAAGGGAAGGGGGGAGAGAGCCTGTAGACACACGTTTGAGGCCGCTATTCCGCCCTCTTGTAATTATCTTGCCGAACATCTGTCAGCAAGATCGTTATCTGCCAATCAATTTCGCGCGTGAGTAACTCCTGGGAAAATTAAGGGAAAACATCCGTGTTTTGCTTCGTCTCAAAACAAAGTGAAATGGACCGCGAGCCTAATTGTCGATTTTGAAAAAAATCGTTGATCTCCGGTAAGAGAATTAATACGGTGCCGGTCGTTGGCGTTTCAAGAAATAAGACCTTGCTGGTTGACAGTGGCCAAGACAGCGTTGTACTAGCGCAAGCATTTGATTGCTCAAGATTTCCTCTTGTGCAAGGAGAAAGCTTTTCCGATTTAAGCTGCTTAACTTGTGCTCATCGCGCCCTTCGTCTTGCTAGTTCAGTTTCTAATTCAACAAGCCCCTGCAATGAGCGAACTTGGAATGCGAAAGGTACAGATACTCTCATGACTTCTCCAGAACGTGAACCTCCAAAGACAAGTACAAAGAAATCAACAGCGCTTCGATCGCCGACAGGAATTACACCTTTGGGTATTTATCCCGCATTTATAGCAATAAAAGAGGGCGGTAGGCCTACACGGCGTTTACCTCACGCCAAAATGCTGCCTGTTCCCATAAGTTTTTTCCTCTGCTCGGTAGATTATGCTCTGGAAGGTTCTACATTTTCACTGAGCAAATATGGTTTTAGCCGCTGGTTTCACACTGAGAGGTCATGGCATACATGTCGATTTACTGTGGTTTTTGTCTCTGGTCGGCAGGATTTGCCCTCTCTGATGCAAGAGCATTTTCTTTGACCTCTTTTGAAGCGTAAAGCTTTTTATTGCGGCTGAATAAGGGTCGTACTTTTCTCCAAAGTGCCCTCTGGATCTGAATAACTAAGCGATTTTGTTTAGTCCGTAAATGTAATGTTTTTCTGAAATGTTGTATCACGCTGGGCCCAGGTCGTTAGTTTTCTTTGACGGATAGTAACTTACAGATCCAAAGTTATAAGATTCAAGTGCAGCTTAAACCGAAGCTACATCAACTATGGAGAATTGCATTTTGACTCGGTAAACTCCAGCCTAGTGTTTTTCTATCCATTAGATAGTGTGAGTCTTTTGACTGGAGCGCGTAGTTCCTCCCTGGGTAATAGCTTTTGAACAAGCTTAACAATCTTTGGAGTGTTTTGTTATTTCCAAACGCGTGTTACGTGCCGACCGAAAAACCGATGTCAATCAGACCTTTCAACAGTCAGTGTTCTCGCCAATAAGAACTTGCATCAGGATCTGATGCACAGCGGGTGCCGTGGAACGGCGGTCCCAAAGGCTTGTCCACAGGCCTTTTCGCTTTTCCCTCTCCCTAATTCCCCGCTCGACCAAAGGCCTGTTCACAGGCTAAATGACCTGCCTTTTGTGTCCCAAAAAAAGGACCAAAAATTCCGGGGGGATACTTCCAGAAAAATTGTGGTGGGGGTGTGCTGCACGCTTCCCGAAACCCTTACCCTATTTCACACCAAAATCTGTGATTTTTCCTACCTTATTTCAGATCTAATCAAAAATTTGATACCCAGACCTGAAGCCCTGGAGCCTGGCGCGTGACCGGAGCGTGCGACAAGCTGTTACGGTACGTACACGGTAGTTGCCGTAAACATTAAAAGGGAAATGGTCTTATCGCCAAATGATGAAGAAGTAGCTAATTCTTCTGAAAAACGTACCCAATTCAAGACTAGAGTGCACAAACCGTACCCTATTTCAGACCAAAATGGTCGAATTCGGACCAAAACGGCTAAAAAAACCATAAAACCTTTTGGCGCGGCACATACCTACATAGCCTATATAAGGGACTGCCCCCCCGGGGCGAAAAACGCGTTGCAGATTATGAATCTCGCTGCTTATGCAAGCGAGACTAATAACGCATTCCGATTGGTTGAATCTCGTGACGCACATCGCCTGAAAGGTGTCTTTTGTTCTCGTCGCCAGCTTTTGTTTCAGATCTTATCTAAGAGTTCCAAAAAAAGAAGATTTTTAACAGCGAGACATACAAAGCTAGCTTCAACCCATGAGTTTGATGTCATTATTGTTGAACTGCAAACCAGTCATGAATATTGCCTTCAATTTGCAGACCACCTTTCTCCTAATTATGTTATGTAAGTATCATTCTCAATTACTCTTATGAAAATTTTTCATGCAATTTTAGTTTCTTTAAAGGAGGATACATATTAAATTATTATTATTTAAGTTTCATCTTCATGGTTCGTTAATCTGAAAAGTACGAGAGGAAAAACAATTGGGTGGAGGAATCTTATTTCTCCAAAGGTTGGCTGCTAATAACATCCTTTCACAATCCTAGACTATGTTAATTCCAATTCAGTCCAAGCAATATATTTTATGTTTTCGAAAATTAAAGTCAATCGGATAACATTTTACGTAACTAAAGATTACATTGAATTAAACTGAAAATACTGCTACACACCGAAATTTTTAAAGTGAAGACTTGCAGTCTAAGTTTGAGGAAAACACTTCTTCCGTCGTGAATGGTTTTACGTAGCCTAGACTGAAACCAGTTTCGCAAAGTATATTATACAAGATAGCTCGTGATTTATCATGAGTGCGACCCTGCGAGCGCTATAGGAGAAGAAGGCCAGTCTAAACGCTTCAGGATCATGCTGCGAGAGTACAAGCTAGATTACTGAGCATTAAGTTGAACTGATTGCGAACTTTCAAAAGATTGAGGTTTTTTAGACTGCTCCTAACTAAGACCAGTTGCTGTTAGGGCTGAAAAACAACTTACATAGCTAGGACAATTAATAGTTATACTTATTGTCCGGAGGCATGAAAGCTTAAGTATTGAAAAATTTCGACTGACTTCGTGACAAGGTGATTTATATTACACTTGCATTTACCTAAGGTGATAAAATGCCTTCTTTGAAGTAATCAGTTTCGTATTCAGTTTCAGCGTTTGTCAAAGCCCACGGATTAGCTTTTGATTCTGAGCCAAACATTACTACGATAGCAGCGACAGGATCAAACCAAACATTCACCTGGAAGCTGTCCCTCAGAGAGAAAGATAAGTCAAAGCAGTTACAAGTTCAGTTTGGTCCTTGGGATCGGAAATACAAAATAGTGAAGTCATTTTTCATGACTGTTAAACAAGAACCATCTGAAGAAAATGAAACTGTGGCTAGAGCAAATCAATCGACTGCGAGGCGTTTGCATTGGAAAGGAGACTTGTCTCGTGACTACTATATCGCTTTTAAACTTGTCAATATTCAGCGCAAAGATGCTGGAGATTATGGAATGAGGCTCCGTGTTGACCATTTCCCTCCCACCATCTTACAGAACTGGTTCTCTCTTATTGTTCAAGTAAGAAGAATTTTTTTTTTTCAGACAGACAATGGAAAGATTCCCCCCCCCCCCCCACCTTGTCTGCGGTCCTATAATCAATTTTGCGATTGCTTTTTTGTCGAATATCGCTATTGAAACTGGACATCATTTATTAAGGTTTCCGATTTTGCTCCGATGGTCTCCCGGTTATCCTTGACCATATGGGTCACCAAAGATGGCGAGTTTGTATTTATACATGACGTGATGACGTTATATATGTCGCCTTAAGTGTCAAATACAGAAATATCAACCCGTGTAAAAATTTGCATTCTTTATTTCTTAACTTTCGATCCTATACGAAACTGTTGAATAACGCAACGTACATCAATGACTAAGCTGGACTTTTTTACGATTAAAGAGTGAGGTTGAAGTGCACCTCGCTAACTCTCTCCATAGTGTCAAGTAACAAAGAAATTTTTGCGTTTAACTTGCCCATCAGTCAGCAAAGGACAAAACCAAGATTATGGTTTTTGATTAAAGTGCTGAGAATTTTGTAACGAATTAGCCACATACACTGAGAACTTTGACTGGCGAACCTGCGATGGATTGATCACATCATTACAAGGGCACCCAACGAGAATATAGTTCAAAACCACTTAAACATAGCAATGTTGAACGTATTTTAGTATTTAAACGGTAGATATATGCATATTTTTATCCCCTAAAAATTTTTCATCTGTTCGGATTTCCTAGCTGAAAGTCTAGTGATCCGAAAATTATAGGGATCAAAACTTACCTTCTCGAAAATTTCAGCCAGAAAAAAGGCTCCCGAAAATTCTAGGTGACCTTTTTAGGGTAAAAATCCGTTAAAAATGGGCAATCATATCATTTTTGGGGGGGTTCGAAAATCCTAGGAGAGGCAAGCAAGCAAGAAATCTAACAACAAATGTTCCGAAAATTCTACATCTCAAATCATCTTCCGAACAGATATTTTCCAAAAATTGTCGTTGGGTGCCCTTGATCATTAGTCATTTTAATTTATAGCTCATATTTGAAACACATTAGACCTAACTACTGTTCCTCTTTTCGTCCTAGGATCCAACGCCCACGCCGTATATTGGTAAGTTTTTATAACACCTAATTTAGAATTGATATTACGGACTACATATACTTGCGTGGTTTTCTGTAGTAATAAGTCCTGTCACGTAATTGTGTTTAAATTACTCTATCTATCAAAGGTCATCACAACACAGTCAGTACCCTAGAATGTTCTTATGGATGTACCACTTCTCTTTAAGCGGCCTTATATAATATGGCCCAGCCACAATTCAGTCTATAAGCGCCATCCCAAAATAGTGATGTTAAATGAAAGTTAGAGGCGCGCCTTAGATCGAGAACTATGAGGAAGGACCTGCTTGTGGGCAGAACACACACACACACACACACACACACACAAGGTGAGATGTTCAATTGATCTTTAACCTCCAGATACTCGACACATAACTCTGGATGTCATTGAAGGGGATGACGTGAACATCACTTGTCGTACCAGCGTGGAAGCGAGATCATATGTGATGTGGTTTAAAGACAAAGTTCCCATTTATGCAGAGCAAAGCAAGTTTTTATCTCTTACAAATGTGAACAGATTACAGGGAGGGAACTACTCTTGCGTATCTATAAACCAGGCTGGAAATACTACGTCGCCCATCACAACTATTAATGTGCTCTGTGAGTACTGAAACAAACAGTAAGACTAATATTTAAAAGCTGTTTCATTCTTCAGGGGCGTGCGTTTATCGAGTTGACGATTTACGCGTTTATGCATCAGTGCGGCAGTTCCAGCTGCGCTCATCCCCCTCCCACCGGGCTACTGCGGGGTATTTGCCCGCCTTTTCAGTCCAGGGGGTAGAGCATTTGCCAATTTTGCGCTGCCCGGGGGCTGGGCATTCGCCAAACCCGGGGCTATTCCAGAGCTTTTGACACGCACGCGATTTCCTGTCAGAATATACGAACTACAAAGAGGATATCACTACAAAAAAAGCAGATTGGCTCATCTGTCAAGGACAGGGGGTTGTAAAGGCATGTTCTCAATTTTAGGCATGCATTTCTTCATTGTTTATCAAGCCAGAATTACATAGCCTCCCACGCAGAGGTTCGCTGAGGTTCTGCGTGGGAGGCTAAGAATTACATAGCGAAACTCGGGAGCTATCGACGTGAATCAACGTTTTTTGGTTAGTGAAACAAATTAGGCTGTTGATATTATTTGAAGAACATCCTTTCATATTTATAAGCTATTCATAGCATATAGCTTCACAGCGCTCTATTAATTAATTTTAATGTCAATAATTTTATACCAATACTAAAACCATAAACTGGTGCATGTCGTCGCAGCGTGAAGTCTTAATTAGAATCCTAGCGCTATTTCAAAGGAAGACGTTAGTTGAAACAAAAAATCTTACATTAAAATGTTTAAAATTGCACAATTCGACTGTGCAATCAATGAAAAATGTTGCAGTGTTGACGGAGGACGGGGCATTTGCCCTCTTTTTTCGTCCACACCCCGGGGGATTTGACAGCTTAAGAGTCCCCACCCCCGGGAATTTGCCATCCAAGACAAAAAAATGCTAATGCCCCGGCGGGGGTGGTTGGGCGCAGCTGGAATTGACTGATGAATAAGTTTCAAGAGAATAAGTAAGAGAATGGCAGAAATGCTAGAGGTGTACTCTCCAGGCATCCCCTGTAAGTGCTTTCATGCATAATTCGATATATACTTAAATAAAGCATAGGCTAATAGCTAACTACACTGTCATGATCCTTCATGCCAATTAAGCTTTTTCTACGGTCGGAGACTAAACCGTTACAAAAAGGCAATTTCTAGCCCTATAGCCTTATATTTTAATTTTCTTTCTTTAATTTCATTCATTTTCAATGTTTGTTACCAAATGTGGGAGGGAGTGGGGTGGGGGTGGGCGCTTATTAACGTTTTCTGCGTTTAGAATGGGCGCTTATTCGAGGTGGGCGCTAACTCGAGGTTGGGCGCTTATTCGAATAAATATGATACGTGCGCACGCAGTCTAGCGATCCACGCTGGTAAGGGCTGCTTAATTAGCCAGAGAGACCAAAAACTCACTTCGATACCTTAAGATGTTCTTTGGGTTAGAAGTACGCTTCAACGAGCTTCTTCGCGCAAGAATGACGTTCGAGTAGTCCAACTGCCAGTGACTCGAAGCATGATTATATTCCCAGATATAATAACGATCCTAAAATACCACTCCATCAGTTGAACATCAAACATTGTAACAGGCTTTTACAACAATATTAGCCGACACACTTCGCTATGAGGTGGGGAAATTTATAACAAAGAAAGAAAAAAATTAGTTTCCGCCATTAGACATGTTAAAAAATATTTTTTTTTCGCGCTTTACTTCACGAAATTACTTTTCTGTTGTCGCCATCATTCTAACCAATCAGGGCGCGAAGAACAAATGACGTAAAAACTTAGTTTTAACAAGTTGCTGACCTCTGATTGGCTAATTCAAATTTCAGACACGAGTACTGTTCCCAGTACTGTTCCCAGGCCAGTGACGAATGGTGAAAAAGACGTCAGTAAACAAAGCAAAACAAAAGGTGACTATTATTGTCTTTAGATACTTCTTTTAGGGGGCGTGCGGGCTGGGGTCGGGGGAAGGGAGGGTGGAGGCAGCCCCTGCAGCTGTCAAACATTTTGAAATCTTTCCGGCAAAAAGCACATGATTCGGGCAGTAGCACTTGGGATACAACTAAAAAGAAGCAAACCAAAAAAAGAACAAAAAACAACGACTGTCGTTGCCAAATTGAATGCTCTCATGCCAAATCAAGGAATGCGGTGTCGATCAACTGGTGATCCCATTGGTTAATGAATGATGTTGAAAAACCTTTCCCGTGGCGTCCATACTGAGTTAGAATCATGGAGAACTCTTGATATACCCATTCACACCAACTGAATATACAGTGGAACCCCGTTAAGGCCACCACCGTTGGACCATAAAATCCTGGTCGTAATAACGAGGTGGTCGCATTAACGGGGTCTTCAAAATAATAAAATGAGTCAATGTTTTGTACTTTTGGTTTGAAAGAATATGGCCGTAATAACGAGGTGGTCTTATAAACGGGGTGGTCGTAAGGCGGGGTTCCACTATATTTAATCAAACCGGGTTTGAATGAAAAACAGACACGGAACGCTGGAACACAGGTTTTTACATAGTATTATGCAACTCACTTCTTTGGTCACAGAAACTTTTGTCATCAGCATTTTACCCATTAAAATATTGCACACAAAACCGTACGGGACCGAATGGTATGGGAGTCTTTTGTGCGATACATTCCGGAGCTCGCCGCAGGATGACGACCAAGGTGAACGCGATAAAGAGGTGGCTCTCACACAGATTAGAGTTTTTAACTTGTGGATTACGTGTAGCGTAAGGAACAAGTTACTGTGGGCACTGCAATATGCAAATGTGTCACCCAGATGTAGACAGCGCCCGATATCAGAACGACAACTGTCGCGGGTATTCGTTGCCGTTCCGCGATGTGCTGATTTTGTACATTTCACAGGAGGCACAGGACGATTGTCTTCATGTGGACTTTGAATGTTTCAAATTAGCACTATGGCCAACTTTGAGACAAGTTTATGAACTTTTGAAGCTTTTTGACTCGTCCAGGCGATAAAAATGACGAAAAGATCAGCAATTTCGCGACTGAGCTGGTCGAAGCTCACGATTCTGCCGTGAGTCTCACGTTTTTTTAATTTTTCTCACGACAAGACTCCCAATCTCGTGGTTGTTAGTGAAATATCATGCTGAAATGAAATGTTTCTTTGTTCAATAACAACGGAAATGTTTACTGTTGCTGAATCGTAAGTGATTCTCCTCATGTAAACGCCGAGTGAATCGTAAGCTGCAGGAGACTACGCGACGGTTTTGCGAGACACAGTCTTCAATATTTATCGAAATCTGTACCCGTTTGGGCATATCTCTTTCTACTTTTTTTCTTCACAGGTTTTAAAGTTATCAATGTTCTCATTCCCTTGCTGGTCATTTTCCTCCTATTTGTCCTGATTATTGTCGTGTTCATTTGTTTGAAGAAGTAAGTTTCAGCCATTCCACCTTATCCACATTATGGTACTCGAACTGGTAGCAGAAGTGGTACCAGTGTCAGTACCCTGGGGTCTCATTTCTCTATTGTTTTTAGACACAAAAAAATGAGCACACTTATAAGATCTTATAAATTACACGTTTAAACGTTTATTAAATTGGCCCCAGGTAACCACAAGACTTGAAAAGCTGTTTTACGTCTGCTTTGTTGACATTAAAAATCGACCTTTAAATAGCTTTGCAGGTAATATGATAAAACTTTCAGTCAGTAACCGAAAACAAAATGGTGTTGTTTGCTATCTAGGAACCTCCTTTCTTTCCTTTAACTTTGATTTTTATATCTCTTAAGGATATTTGGCGTCAGATCAGAAAAGCTACCTTGACTATCAATAAGGAGTCTTCTCAGTAATGTAGCAACACCAACTACATAAAAAATACTAATAGCTCAAATCGTTTAATCAGCATGTAAACCTGCAGGTTGTTTACTTCATAGCTTCATAGTTATTGGACAATTTACTCACTTTTTCTTTCTTCCATGCAGGAGGAAAATCAAAAGGGAAAAACTACTCGATGGCACTGAAAAGTAAGTAAAAGTATGTCATAACCATCAGGGGCCTACCTATTCTCTTATTACAAAAAATCGGGAAATGAAAGTGACGCGACAATAAGTGTCGCGATCATAAAATGACGCGAAAATTAAGTGAATTAAGTGAGTCACATTATGTCAATAATCACGAAAGAACGAGTTTATTAACACGGAAACGTTTACAAAATCACATTTTTTACTAAATGTTTATTTTTTCTTTGTTCATAGTCTGTAGGAAGGAATTTTCAGTGTAACTGGATTTTGTGGTCAATTGAGGCCTGTTTCAAACGTAGTGTAGTGTTAAGCTGGCTCGACTGTAGCCCGAAGCTACAGCTCGACACTAGCACGACTTGATAAAGAAACGATTCAGCAAACCTTTAAATGTATTTTAATGTGTTCATAATTTATGAATTGTGTTTGGCACGGCAGTAGCGCGACGTTTAAAACCAGCATAGGCGTACGGGCCGGGGGGGCGAGGGGGGCTGCAGCCCCCCCAAATTTTGGGCAACTCAGATTTTTTGGGCAGCAAGAGAAAATTTGGGCAAAGCCAACTTTTAAAGACGTTTCTTGTTTTTTATGAGTATTTTTGAGAGATAAATATTTTCTATTTTAACCTGAAGTCGGCGTAATAATCAAGTTACATTCACTCGAGACAATGGTTGCCAAGCACGTGATTAGTTTCTGTTTATAAGGGAAGGGTTTTTTTTTTATCGTTGGGCACTGGACTGCAATGGGCTATTTCCAATCGGGAATTGATTAGAATAAACTTCCGCCTAACTTTCTAGGATCATCTTCGCTCGTAGAACAGTTTATGGCAGATAGGATCAGCGATTGATCTGAAAGTGAAGAAGTGGCTGACTAATTCTCACTTTGAATTACGAGAAGAATCTTAATGTTTTTTAAAAAATCTATCAAGTGGTTCAAATTATTCACTAATTTGTTAAAGTAGACCGAAATGTTTACAAAACCGCTAACAAGAGCGCCATGATACATACTAATGAAATCCTTCTTTGTAGCAATTTTGAAATATCACTCGTGATATTTATGCCAAATATCACTACAAATCATGCTATTACCTATACAATGTACAAATAACTCACACACATTTTTAAAAAGATTGAACCTACTATGAGGTGAAATTGCATGTCAAAAGCGCTTCGTTTTCTACTGATAGCGGCCAAACAACAAGATTTTCCTTGTTTTACTGTATTTCTAACGATAAAAACTTTATCCCAAACTATCCCGATAACGCTCTTACAGACTCCGTTTTAACTTCACAAACACCGAGGCGACTATTGGAGGAAAAAGCTCCCGAGAACGATTTCATATTGAGAAATAATGCTGCAAGTATAATAGGTAATGGCGTCATTTCGTTGCTATGACAACTCCGATGTCATTGCAACCCTGATCATGACAAATTTTCATCTTTATCTAATACAACTGTGGTGGCAATTTTTCCAAATGTTTGTTTATGGCAACGTATAGTTTATGCTCAAACTTGGCAGGTATATATTGACCATGAAAAACTGTATTGCGGCACTTTCGTATGCCAGTACGGCCTATGTTGTTGCATCGTATGACCCTTGTTTCTTCTCGACTGTTTTGTAAAAATTTGGCAACTTGCAAGAATTTTTTGGGCAAATGGTTTACCGCCCCACCCCCGGCCGAAAATTGCCCGTACGCCTATGAAAACCAGGTTGAGCTACTACCGGGTAGCACGGCAAAGCTTGCCTTGCTACACGGCAGTAGCACGACTTGGTTTCAAACGTCGCGCCACTGCCGTACTAAAGTCGAATTTAATTCGATCAATTTAGTTCGGCACGGCAGTAGCACAAGTTTGAAACGGGCCTGACTAAATAACAACAAGAATCGCCGAAAGGCGATTTTTAACTGGGCTGCAAAGGGGCTATTTTTTCTGAGGGGAGGGGGCGGCTATACACATTCAGGCTACCATAAAACCTTGTCGGCAACCATTGCATGCGACAGAATCTCATGTGAGACTGAAACATAAACTCATTCAGAACATTGTACCCTTTTGAAAGACTTTCGTAACCCAAAAAAGAGTACCATTTTTAATTGGGGGCTGTATAATAGCTTTTAAATTCCACCATTATGAATAAAAATAAACAAGTTAGTCATTAATTGTAAGCAGGAAACAATTTGCATTATTTCCACGCACCCTTCCCCCAATCCCTCTGTGCCCCAAAATATAGCGTGACAGTATAACGTGACTAATTTGACGCAACCGGAAATTCCAAAAATTGTTGTCCTTCTACGAGCATAAAATGCGACAGACTGAGCTGATTTACACTAGACAGAAATATTGTATTGTATGAAAACCAGAAGTACACTAAAACAGACAGTTAACTGTTCATTGATCCCACCTGATCCAGGGGCCTCACTGACTGCACGGAGACTTTACTGCGCTTTTCACAAACATGCGAACTCTTAAGTTCACAAGCCACCTTCAAAATTGTGTTTATCGCTTCCGTCAATCATAATTACGATCACAAGCAACGAATCTTGAAACAGAGAAACACACAAAACGGATCGAAATCCACAAATCACAAACCATGTCCTTTTGAACCGGTGAAGTAAAGTTTCGTTTCCTAAGAGGTCCGTTAAGATGATTGACAGCAGCGAAAAATGCAATCGTCAGTTGGGTTCTGAACTTCAGAATTCGCATGTTTGTGAAAAATGCGATCCTAATTTGCGGTCCACAGTCTACATGAAAACGCACTATTTTTTCCACAAGATGAAAAATATTCAGTTTTAAAATTTTCCTCATAGTATTTTTCTCTAACTTAAAGGAATAAAATCCTTTGCATTTTGAGACCTAAAAAAGTTTAAAGATTTCTCGCTCGCATGTTGCGTTCATAAGCACGCACTTCAAACAATGTAAATAGATGAAACGATCGATAACATATTTTTTACCTGATACCGATGAAAAAATTCGCTCCAGTTCTGTTTGTCTCACTCAAGACCAACTTTTCTTCATGGAAGATAACTATGCCGCTTTATTACTTGTCCGAAGTTTTTGTGCCAGCTAAACAATATGGAAACACTATTCACAGTGACTCCTTTGATATTAAAAAGACTGAACGTGACGCACTATTATGCCTTTGTTTACTTCTGATCACATCTTCAAGCGAAGTCTCTCTTTTCAAGCGATTCATCTCATTGCACAATAATTGACCCTTATGTTAGTTAAAATCCTATGGTTCATTTATATTAATGCTGTTTTTGCCCCTCACATTGATTGTGTTCGTTCGTATTCAAAACACCTTTACGAAAATAAAGGTCGTATAAGTCATGTGTGTTATGTTTCGAGATAAACGGATTATACGCTTTTTTAAGTTTCCATTTTGCGGTGACTTGAGTTTACATCTCCATAAAATGGTAAAAGAAATATCAAGAAACATCACGAGAGCTGAAAATTTTCAAAGGCATGTTCCTGAAACTCGCTAATGCTGACATCAATATAGCGTGCTTGCTGAATGGGCGAAAACACAGAATTGTGATCACAAGATCTTGTACAAATTTAATGATAAAAGCTTAGCAAGATACAGATACAAACAAAAGCAAACCCCCTGAAACCTCGACGTGGGCTACAATTGTATCCTCTACTCAGTCACCAAACCTTGTCAGTAATAGCTCCTATTTTGCTCAAGTCGCTCTCTGTGAAGCTCCCGGATGGGATGTCCCGGTGAAGCTTTAAACTTGTGTGCGAAATTCTCAGAGTTCCTATTTTTGTCCGTGTCTTCTTTATCCTCAGTATCCGAAATTTAGACCTCCAAAGTGCCGTGTGTTGCATTAAATAGAAGGAAATATTTAAAGGAAAAGCCAGTTTTCTAACATGGCAAAGTTGTCACGTCCCTCGCTCATGGACGTGCCACACATCAGGATTCATCTGCCATTCATCGGCAACTGAGTTGTTCGCTTCACTGACTATGACGGCTTACAATCAAGTCCTCAGCCATAGTGTCGTCAACTGGTGAAATAATTTGCTCATAAATTGTGCTTCTTAATTGCTCATATACTACATCGATCGATAGTTCACGAAGCGGCTACGGCGTTCCAAACCTGACGCTCACAGTCATCTTTTCAGTCTTTTAGTGTGAACCTACTGTGAACGGCGTATCGGTTTCCCAGCGCCAACATCATATAACTGACTTAAACTCGAACAATAAAAAAATTATAGAGTGACTCCCATGATCGAATCGCTTCGAACAACGCAAATAGCCTTCTTCAGGTTCGCAACGCCTTGTGGGTTTTTCAGGGGGAGCGCAGACGAGGTACAAAAAGTATCCGTGTAAGGCTCCGTGCAAGAGAAACTCATATGAAACCATTTGTGAGAACATCGTTTCTCGGTACCAGACCCTCGTGTCTTTCCTCCCCCGGAGACCACTTTTCGACACCGACGACCGAAAGCCCATTTTATGACTGGGCCGTACAGGCAGCCCAGTAATAATAACGTGCAAGCATGAACTGCTTGTGGACATCGTGAGAACTGCTTTGTGGTTACTGTTGACATTTAGTCCCTCTGTTGCGTTTTTCTTAATGTTGACGTTATTGTTCCTTTGATAAAGTCGTTTTATCAAATTCAAGGATATGTTGAAAAACATTGCCAATTAAATGTAAATTGTGGTGCTCAAAAGTGATTCAAAGTGTAAAATGTTCGCAAAGTCGCGAATGAATAAACATGGAGCGAACATTTCATGTAATAAGGTAAATGGTATTCGCTCAGTGTTATAACGATCAGATATATTTCCTTTGTGGCTGGCATGGGTTGTGCCAAGACCCTTGAGCTTCCGAGTAGGCGATAACTTTCAAATGACTTAACCTTTATTTGCAGAGTCAAAGGAGTATAACTTAAGAGTGAAATCTAGGGTATTCAAACATTCAAGTATGGTAAAGTTTCCCATACAGCTGTAAACTTATAATGAATATCTTTCGTCAAGTTCTTTGTTACAAAAGATTTACTCAGCTTTCTCAATACTGGCTTGAGAGAAACAGTTATCTCTAATGATCAGTTCGAAAGAGGAGGAAAAAAGTTAGATTTCAGACTTTTATGCGCCGGCCACCTGCAAACAGCTGCGGTAACTTCCAAGTTAAAGAAGTCGTTTAGAATCAAAACCTTTTAGAGGCACACGAAAGAGGCTCTGAGCAAGGGAAATTTTGGTTCTTAGCAAAAGGGGTGTCTAAGAACAGGCAGGATAGGTCCATCTTGCCCAATCGAGCCATTTGCCTTATGTGCCGCAGGCATTTTTATTGACTTCATGTTGAAATGAGAGTAAATAAAGAATTCACGAGTCAGAGTAAGAATTTCAATTTAAGTGGATAAGAGATCTAATTTGTGTCAAAATGATGTATTTCTAGGACTGAATCAATAGGGCTGAGACGTACCACGAAAAAGGAGCCACCTTTGATGATGTAAGTATTCAGGTAACTAGTCATAAGAAAATAAGTAACGTGTAATTATAGGTTTGTGATCCTTTGCTATTAAACTGGTTAACTTTGCACGAGCAGTACGAGGCCTCGTCCTCTTGTTTATAAGTTCAGGTGAGTGTTTTCACAAAGGATATTAACAATCTAAGAAACAAAAACTTAATTGGATTGGCCCGCGATAGTTTGCCCCACTTACAGCACTTCCCATTTTTGCTCGGGCTTTTCCAAAGGAACGACCGAGCAGAAAAATGTGAACGGTTTTTTGTTATAGGGGAAATTGGAAGAGTACAATTATGTACAATGAATTCTTGAAGAATCTGCAGCCTAAAAAGAGTAGAAGAAACTAAAATGTGTATGGCTGTGATTTCTTAGGTAAAGTTTGTTCATTTGAAATTTTTACACACAAGCCTGAGCTCACGCAGTGCGTCTAGTCTAATATCGAGTAGCTCTCCAATTTATTTTGAATATACCAGGATAATCAGAACCAAATCCGCTTAAGCTTTGTTTTTTTAAATACCCCAACCCCTTTGCCATTTCTCAGTCGTTTCACCGCTAAAATTGATCTGCAAATCGGTTGCATGATAAAATGCCAGTTTTCCTTGGAAAATCTTACATTAACATGCCTCGGTAAAGTTGTCTCGTGCAACGGGCAGTTCTTATTTCAACAAACAGCGATTTGACGATGTTAACATCGCTGATGGGAAAACGTTCGCGAAGCCTGAACTTCAGAACATTAATTATACATACAGATCTATCTACACACTGCAGATCTTTTTTGTTTATACTTGTGAGGAAAGCTGATCTGCACCACTAATTTCATTAATTTTCTCTTGTCGTTGCAGTTCTGCGGAATGAAAGTTCCAAGGATCCAAGGCAGAAGGAAGGGACGACAGGCTTTTCGTAGCCTTTTCGTAGCCAATGTTAAGTTAAAATAGCCAGCAGACACAGTGTGTTTGTTAGAAGGAAAGTAGCTAGCAGACGCTGTGTGTTTATTAGGAGGGGTTGGAGGGGCATTTTTGCTTGCATCTTTCAGGTGTGGGATATAAAGTCACACAAAATTCACATTGTTTCTCGTCAAACCCTTTTTTAACAATTCTTGCGACCTTTTTTCTCGAAACAACGAAACTGAAGATACCAACATGCTTTTTTTCTTTGAAACCTCGGTTTTATTTAAGTAAAACTCCACATATAAGAAACTAGATTTTTTTTCAAGTCAGCCTGAACAGGGTCTTATAATCTATGGTGATGCTAATGCGGCTTACAATGAGTTCCTACAAAAATATACTGAATTTTATAACAAGAGTTTTCCGAGAAAGTTTTGTCAAGGGAAATATCTAAATACTCTGCATAATCCGTTGCTTACAACTGGAATCTTGAAATCTATTAAAACAAAGTCTAGGCTGTATAATGTATTCTTACTTAAGGAAACCAGGTCATGAGCGTGAATACATCTATAAGTCATTTAGAAATAAGCTAACTTGTCTTGTTCGTGTCGCCAGGAAAAATTATTATGACAACAAAATGGATAAGGCTAGATCTAACTTAAAGCAAACATGGAAAATTCTCAATGAAGTGATCAACAGGCGTGTAGCTAAATCACTATGTCCAGGAAGCTTCACCAAAAATGGAATGGAAATTAGCAATTCGAAGCAATCCTACTGACATTGCCAATAATTTCTGTGATTACTTCACCAATATCGGGCCAAATTTGGCAAGCCAAATTCCTTCCACAAATTCATCACCCAAGGATTTCTTGAGCAGCTCTCTTTCTGAATCACCATTTCATTGCAACCACTAACCGTCGGTGAATTATACAATATTGTTAAATCGTTCAACGCTAACAAAGCTCCTGGACATGATAATATATCCATTAAGATAATTCATCAGTCTTTCCAAAAAATTGCACAGCCTCTTGTAACGATTATAAACACTTCGTTGTCTACTAGTGCGTTTCCTGAATCTCTCAAAATAGCCAAAGTGTTTCCAGTTTTTAAGGCAGATGACCCAACACTTTTTAGTAACTACAGGCTGATATCAATTCTTCCAATTTTTTCTAAACTCTTTGAAAAAGTCATATACAACCGACTGATTAATTTCTTAAACTTGCATAATATTTTATACTCGACACAATTTGGATTCCTTAATAATCATTCGAGTGTATCAGCTTTAATTGACTTGATCAACAATATATCTTCAGCTATCGACAGAAATGAAACAACTTAAGGCATCTTCTTAGAAATATTGTGTCAAAAACTGCAACACTATGGTATTCGGGCTACTGCTTTGGCGTGGATCAAAGGCTATCTTGAGGATCGGACTCAATGTGTCCAGTTTGGGTCCCATCGATCTTATCCGCGGAAAATTTTTATGTGGCGTCCCGCAGGGCTCAATCCTTGGACCTCTTTTGTTTATTATTTACATAATGTCTCTAGTCTCACTCAATCTTTACATGTTTGCTGATGACACAAGTATCTTTTGTTCCCATTAAAATGCCAACCACCTCGTTTCTATTGTTAACAATGAATTTGCAAAAATAATTATTTGGCTTAAAGTGAATAAGTTATCTCTAAATTTGACTAAAACGTAAGTAAGTAAATCCGCCATTTTACACGCCGAATCATGATCGATTTCTTATAGAGTTGGGAAAAACTTGAGAATTGTGGGTTATGATGAATGAAACATGATTTAAAAATTCGATTCGGCACAAAAGACAACGGCTGAACTTCTGTCGAGATTTGACTGGCTCAGTCGAAGATGCGACAGAAGTCGCGTCGTCGAATTTAATTTTAGTTAAACGCCGAACTTCCTGCGCATTCAATACCTGAATTAAATTTGGCACATGTGAAATGCGATGTTTACACCGGGCCTTACTGTAACAAGTAACAGTCTTCGCTTCCCGTCGGTACCCATTAACGTACGTTTTATTCACATAACCGTTTATTTCCGTCAATTATATTCGGAGGGGCTTATCTAAGGAGGGAAATTTGCGTTTCAAAATCGATTGGGCTAGCCTTATAGTTGGAAGGAAATTTACCTTTTTCACTTTGTTTTACTTTGTATTTAAGGGCAATTTTCCAAGTACAATATATTATATTGGGGCGATTTCACGGAGGGTTTTTGCTTTACAAGTTTGGGGGGCTTATATTTGGAAGAGAATTATACATGGAGGGGCTTATTTTCGGAATTTTACGGTAACTAACGGGCTCACTTAAGGGAACACGAATACTTCAAAGTCTCTCATTGAAATTAAGTTTGCATGCAATCGTTATTTTACTTCAAAATCCACTGGAAATGTTTGTTGTTCTTCTTTTTTCTTACCGACGGCTTTAAAGTGTACATCATAGGTTTACAAAGCGCATTAGATCGGAATTACGTAAAGAAGAAAAATTTTTTTTCACTTCTCAGTAAAAGATCTTATTAACTTTGTTAAAAACAGTAAGAATACGGGAGCTACATAGGTCTCGTAAATTTACGTGCTATTTTTCCCGTAAAAAAAGTTTGATGCAACACCCGCGATTTCTTTTGCATAAACGACACTTAGGTGAACACTTACGAAATCCCCAAGTGGACCACTTAAGTAATTTAATGCAACTCACTTAAGTTACGAGTGCACATACGTACACCCGTAATTCTTACTGGCGTTTTATGCAACCGGGTTCCTGGACCGCAATCTAGATAACCACCTTATCAAATAAAATGATAATAACAATGACGATTCCCAAGCTTAAAACTCATTCATGCTCTTATAGCCTGCGAATACTGTTGTCTCTCCTCGCTCCTCGCCGTGACGAAATCGTCCCTGCCTTGTACCCAGACGTCTCTCTCTAGATGAAAATTGGCGCGCAAAAGAAGGCGGGAAGGGGACAACGGTCTAAACCTTCCATCTGTACCCTTCCCATGGTCCCTTGTGGTTCATCTCCAGTCCCTCGCGTTTCGCGCCTCTACCATGCGAAAAACTAATTGCCTGAGGAGGAGGCTGAAATCGTACCTAGCGGCAAGAAGCCAGGAGAGACGGCTATATTCGCAGGTTAATACTCTTATTTAACAATTAATGAATGAGGCTGAGTATCTTATGAAGAATTATGGAGATCGAGGAGAGTGTTATCCGTCGAGGCCGTAGGCCGAGGCGGATAACACCCTCCAAGATAGTTTACGTTTAGGTTCGTCCAGCTCCGCAAATATTCTCCAAATAGCAGATGTCGCCCTCCGAGTTGTCTTCTTGCTGTTTTTGCAAGGTTTTCAGTAGCCATTATTTCGCCTAGTTCCAGCTGTAGTTCTTGCTCTTGAAACGAGTGAAGTGTCCGCCATTTTAGTTTTTACAACGAAAACAACTCAATCTCGTCCCCAGGTCTTCTCGGTTAACGGTGCATTAACCTGTAGAAGGCTGCATTTTTGACGTCATTTCCTCGTTAAACACAAAATTCTTCCAAATTTGGTCTTCAGTAACTGGTTATGGTGAATTATGCGTGTGCTTTTAGCCAATCAGAATTAGGGAAATATTTTGAATGAATAATAAAACTTTTAAACTCTAAGATCAAAATTTGAATTCTCATTTGTTGCCCCTATTCATTTCCCTCAGAAGTAGTGGGGAGAAGTTGATAAAATATCAAGCAAATCCATCTTGTGTGATCATGTCCGTAATTCTCATGACCACACTGTTTAACAGAGCATTGGTATTACAAGGAGAAATTTGATGCTGATCACTCTTAAGGCTTAAAGGGTTAATGAGACTGTTATTTGTGCTCCAGATCAGAACTGAAGTTCAGTTTTGTTTGGCTAAACGCCGCTTTGCAACTTCTTTTTGGAAAGCCTCACTGGAATTCACATTAGGAAATAGCTGCTCAGGCTGTGTAACACCTAAAAACTTACATAGAGGATCCCAACCCTCTTTAACATTAAAAACTAACAAATTTTCTTCCTTGACATTCCTTTTCACTTCTTCAGTCCAATCTAAATAAAACTTAGTACGTAAATCAGTTTCTTGTTTTCTTGGGTCAACACCATGAACTTTTGTCACACAGGCGTAAAAGGAATCGAAAAATTCTTGCCGTGCTGAATTGGAATCAGATTCTTTAGAAGATTTGACAGGAAAAATTGTCGCTCGAACAGATTCAACCCACTTCTCAGGATTATCTCGCACAGTAAGAATCACTTTAGCATCCGGATTCCACTGAAGGAACTCTTTATAAAATAAACAGCCAGGGTAATCTGTAGTAGCCACATAACCCCTGAAGGCTTCTTTCAATATTTCACTGCTGTCCTCACTACTGCTGAATATCTCTTTCCACATTGGCCATAAATGCTCTTGATTGTCAGGGAGTAATTCTTTCATATGATGGCAGGGTCCAAATCCTAAGAGAACAAGCGCTTGCTGCAGGGATTTAGTTCCAGTACGACCCAGTCCAGTGCCAATAACTTTCAAATCTGTCATGATCTGATAAAAAGGTCAAGGTAAAGACAGGGGCACCCAACGAGAATATAGTTCAAAACCACTTGAACATAGCATTGTTAAACGTATTTTAGTATTAAAACGGTAGATATAGGCATATTTTTATCCCCTAAAATTTTTCATCTGTTCGGATTTCCCAGCTGAAAGTCTAGTGATTCGAAAATTATAGGGATCAAAACTTACCTTTTCGAAAATTTCAGCCAGAAAAAAGGCTCCCGAAAATTGTAGGTCACCCGTTTAGGGTAAAAATCGGTTAAAAATGGGCAATTATACCATTTTTTAGATGTTCGAAAATCCTAGGAGAGGAATACAAGCAAGAAATTTTGGAAAAAATGTTCCGAAAATTCTAGATCTCAAATCGTCTTCCGAACAGATATTTTCCGAAAATTGTCGTTGGGTGCCCCTGGTAAAGAGTTCTTATTTAAGTCGTGCTGAGCTAAAAAAAAAGGCATCTTTCAACTAACAAACTTGAGGACGATGCTGCGCTTTTTTTAACTAATCCATTATTGCTGTGTTTTAAAAGTAATTCACAGCAAAATTACTTAGGCTGTGTCCACCCTAATACGTTTTCAAAAGTGTTCATTTTCGTTGTTATCGATTCGAGTCCACACTACCGTATTAGGGACCTTACGATCCGACAGCGGCGGCGTCCATGAAAACGTCCCTGAAAAATAAACTTCGCATCCTTCCACTTTTTTTCGCGATTTTCCCAAGTCGCCCAGTTGCTTAAAAAGAAGGGAATTTAGGCTGGAGATGAAGAGGGGGGGCCCCAAGTTCAGACAGGGATAGTAGAATTTATCGCCTCCGTTGGACGCTATGTAGGACCCAGGTCCCATGAATGTGACAATAAACAGGCAATAATTTTTCATTATTAATTGTTAATTATGTTACTTAAATTTGCCCGTAACACTTATCCCGGGCCAAAAATGATTGGTTGCATGAGCAATAAATGACAATTTCCTCACACAAATGTGCTAATCGTTTTCATCGAAAACGCATCGATCAGAAAACGCTCTTGAGAGTGGACCAAAATGAAAGCGTTTAGAGTGTGAATAATAAGCTTTGATAGATTGTGCTAGCATAATTTTTGGCATAATTTCCGTCGTCATTACGATTTACGAGCATAATTTTCATGTATTTCCTGAAAAACGCACTGCTAGCATAATTTGCACTTTTGGACGGAAGGCCTAAACGCCTCGAAATGCCGGCTCGA